AGTGTGTGTGTGTGAATAAATGTGTGTGTGTGTGAATAAATGTGTGTGAGTGTGAATAAATGTGTGTGTGTGGATAAATGTGTGTGTGTGTGAATAAATGTGTGTGTGTGTGAATAAATGTGTGTGTGTGTGGATAAATGTGTGTGTGTGTGAATAAATGTGTGTGTGTGTGGATAAATGTGTGTGTGAATAAATGTGTGTGTGTATGTATAATAAATGTGTGTGTGTATTTATAATAGATGTGTGTTTGTGTGTATGTATGTATAAATGTGTGTGTGTGTGTGTGTGTGTGTGTGTGTGTGTGTGTGTGTGTGTGTGTGTGTGTGTGTGTGTGTGTGTGTGTGTGTGTGTGTGTGTGTTTATAAATGCGCGCGTGTGTATGACAAGTAAGAAGAATACCAGGCCCGAACTTACCAAACTTGCGTTACTGGAAAATTGGCTTCGAAAGTACATGAAATTACAGACCACTCCGATCTCACACGCAGCTCTGCCAAAGGCTTTCAAAGATACGGTATTCGTGCTAAGCAAGTTTCCAACAGCTAATCCGCTTTTCTCCGCTGTACAGCTTAGCAGGTTTTGCAACATGACGGATAATCTAGAAAGTCTCCTCGAGTGAAGTGACAGATGACATGAAATCGAAAGTGTCCCCCTTGCGCCGACGAATTTTTTTTAAGTGTCATCTCCGTTATAGTCTTCTGTATTCTACGTTTTTTTTTTTTTTTTTTTTTCGTCTCTCTCTCTCTCTCTCTCTCTCTCTCTCTCTCTCTCTCTCTCTCTCTCTCTCTCTCTCTCTCTCTCTCTCTCTCTCTCTCTCTCTCTCTTTCTCTCTCTCTCTCTCTCTTTGGAATTCCGTGTAACTTCGCCATATGCAAATTTCGGAATCCACCGAAATTTGAAAAAATACACCCCAAATACCCATCATCTTCCTTCAGAAATCCCGAAGAAAAACAAACGCAAAGACAAAAAAAAAAAACAACAACGCCATGACAATCAACGTGACGTCACTGCAACGGCCGCTCCTGATTGGCTGGCGACCGAGGGGGCCCCATCAATGGTCATGCTAAACAGGTGGTTTGTTGTCAAGTCATTCCCACTCTTGATCTTACTGCATCACTTTCCTTTGCGGCTTGTCTTGATAACGCATGTACGAGCGCGCGGTTTGTATGGTTACAATTTCTCTCGTTATGCGGAGTTCCACCTGAAGGGGATCTCCGCCATTAGCATGGTTGTCTTCCCGAGATTTGAATCTTAACGGTTGTAACGGCTGCCATATCCACGTGGGTAATTACATAGGCAGTCTTTAGATTGCGTTTGTCATTAAATGAAGGGATGGAGCGTGGTTTGTCATTTTCTTATTTACATGGTTTTGGGGATTTGAAGACAGGTGTTTTGTGAATGATTGTGCGAATGTAGGAAGTGGGTTTTTGAAAGCAATTGAGACTACACCCGACTTTTATCATTTTAATACAAACTTTCTAGTATTCTATTCTGTTATGTTTTCTTCGCCTGATATTCAAATTCCATCGTTACCATTATTTATCATTGACATTCATCATCATTACGATTCAATTATCATCATTATTATTTTTTCTCTCTCTTTTTTTATATCATTCCCTTGTAAACAGCATCAATAACCACACTCAAACAGATGCCGTAGCTCAGTGGTCGATTGCTGGCTTTGCAATGCCGAGGTCCTGGATCCCGACCGCCTCTCTCAGTCGATTCAGCTGTGAGTGCCGGTGTACTGACATTAGCATGCTGGGGTCAAAGTCACGGCGGAAAGAGACTGGCCACAGTTATAGCATCAGCTTAGTAAGCATGTTCCTCTGTGAATGTGTTTCTTGCGTTCTCTTGGGTGTGGGAACAACTTTGACTTTCGGAATGTGCTCATTAGTTGTGTTATTAGTTAGGTTTCATTTTCGTTTCTATGGTGATAGGATGCTTTACTTGTTATTTATCAGTGATATTATTTCTATTGATAGCAAGTTCATTTTCCTAAAGCAAAATATAAACACGATATCTTCATTTTTTTTATCGATCCATCTTTTTCATCAATCTTTTTTTTTATTATTATTCATTTTCTTTTTATCGATTTTTTTTAAATCGTCATTCTTCGTTGACCAAGACATCTCTGCAATACGCTATGCACCAGAAAAATACACGAAATCATCAAAATATTGCAATCATTGCAAATACCCGAAGATTCCAAAGATGTGATTCCTTTTGTTCGCGATTTTTTTGCATCAAAGTGATATCGTGTTTTTATCTTCGTTCAGTTCAAATACTTCGTAAAACAAAATATAATTAAATAAAAGACATTCTTATCTTATGTGATTTGTAGTCTGCTGTATACTATTTTTTTTTTTTTTTTTTTTTATTAATATAATTATGTTGTTCATTTGATTTTGTCTAGTTCCCTTTTCGCTGTATTCGTAAAAATATAAAATTTGGATATCTTGAGTTAAAGACAAACGTATAGCTATCATACGGCATAAACAGATATAGGCCTATGTGAATTTACGTCTATGCCTGTGTCTGTTTGTACGTCTGTGTCTGTGTGTATGCCTGTGTCTGTTTGTATGTCTGTGTCTGTGTGTATGCCTGTGTGTATGCCTGTGTCTGTGTGTATGCCTGTGTCTGTGTGTATGTCTGTGTCTGTGTGTATGCCTGTGTCTGTGTGTATGTCTGTGTCTGTGTGTATGTCTGTGTCTGTGTGTATGTCTGTGTCTGTGTGTATGTCTGTGTCTGTGTGTATGTCTGTGCCTGTGTCTGTGTGTATGTCTGTGCCTGTGTCTGTGTGTTTGTCTGTGCCTGTGTCTGTTTGTATGTCTGTGTCTGTGTGTATGCCTGTGTTTGTGTGTATGCCTGTGTCTGTGTATATGCCTGTGTCTGTGTGTATGCCTATGTCTGTGTGTATGCCTATGTCTGCATTGCAAGTAGAACAATGAAGGCAAGTACAGGAAAACACACGTACTTCCCTTCATTGTTCTACTTGCAATTTGTTCGACATGAATTCCACACCTGTGTCTGTATGTATGTCTTTGTGTATGTCTATGCCTGTGTCTGTGTGTATGCCCGTGTTTGTGTGTATGTCTGTGTCTGTGTCTATGCCTGTGTCTGTGGCTATGCCTGTGTCTGTGTGTGTGCCTGTGTTTGTATGTATGTCTGTGTCTGTGTCTATGCCTGTGTCTGTGTGTATGCTTGTGTCTGTGCGTATATCTATGTGCATTTCTGTGTCTGTATGTATGGCACTCTGCATGTGTATGTTTTTTTTAGAGATAGAAAAAAACATGAAAATTAAGATACGCAAACAAAATTTAAAAGGGCTTTTATCTTGTTTTGTTTACCTATTAGTCTAGAAGTTTCTAGAGTCCAATGCAGGTGATAAGCATAATAACCATACAGAGATATATATATGGATTTAATTCATTTAATTCAGTACAGTTAGAGTAAGAAGATGGAGCCAGAATGTGACAAGATAAACATAGTGGTTGAGATAATGATAATAATTAATTACGAATATTATCTTTTATAATATACCCTTCCTGAAAATAGATTGTAGCTTCTAGATCACAAAAAAGATATAAAGTTCCGGTATTTATTATCAATCGCCTTCAGAGGTTATTAAAGATCGCATTTATGAATTATATTTGCTTTACTAAAATGCTCTTGAGAGGTTTGTGAAAATTATTTGAAAAAGAAGTGACAATTTTCCCTAAAATAAGGTAAAATGCAGATTAAAAAAATAATAATAATAATAGTAATGATAATAATAATAACAGTAATAATAATTAATCAATTAATAAATAATAATGATGATAATAATGATAAATAATAATAATGATGATGATAATAGATAATGATAATAATAATAATGATAATGATAATAGTAATAATAATAATGAATAGAACAATAAAAAAGAATGCACAGTAATATTTCTTTTTTCTTGTTTTTGCTTGCTTGGTCGCTCACATGGTCGCAGATTTATCTAGAATTCCGTGATCTATTAAAAAAAAAAAAAAAAAAAAAAAAAAAAAAAAAAAAAAAAACTTTTTCTTTAATAAACAAAAACATATTTCAACTTCTTTGTTTTAATCTATCGTGGTATTCATTTAACAACTAACAACCACTTCCATTAAATTGTTACTCGTGTGATTATCATTAGATGTTAATAGGCCTACAAAGTGCCATGGGTTGCCATTTCGTGTAATAAAGATAATAATTTCCTCCCTGTGGTAGTGTTCTATGTCAACATGACTTATACAAGTCTTTATGTGAGTGTATATAATCGTCAGACGTACATGTGTGCATTTACAAACTAGACCACCGATTGCAAACAGGACCGCCGATTTTGCAAGATCCGTTGCAGAATCGGTTTTCTTTTGTTCTTTCATGGTTTGAAAGTTGCATTAAAACCTGAAATGCAATTTTTTGATAAGAAAGTGTTTGTTTGTTTGATTTTCTTTATGTGTTGTCTTCTCTTTTCATCAATCACCGGTTTCGGTAAGTTTCTCGTTGCTTGAAGCGGTTTCTTTCTCTCTCTCTCTCTCTTTCTCTTTCTCTCTCTCTCTCTCTCTCTCTCTCTCTCTCTCTCTCTCTCTATATATATATATATATATATATATATATATATATATATATATATATATATATATATATATACTATATATATATATATATATATATATATATATATATATATATATATATATATATATATATATATCTTTCTCTCTCTCTCAAATAGGTTATATCTGAATATAGAAATATATTTAGAAAGTTGTGTGTATATATGTGTATGTGTTTATATATATATATATATATATATATATATATATATATATATATATGTGTGTGTGTGTGTGTGTGTGTGTGTGTGTGTGTGTGTGTGTGTATATTTGTGTGTGTGTGCACAGTAGATAATTAGACTGACAGATACAGAAGAAAAAAGTGGACCGACTAACGCCCAGCTCTTCCCCTCAGCCGTCTCCGCACACACCTACGGGTATCCCACAATCTCCTCAATCACCTGCACTCTTTCCAAGTCCATGTAGTACGCGCTGATCTTCTGCATGAACGCCATGCTCCAGAAGACCAGGTTGAAGACGACGAAGAAGAGAGACGTCAGGATGCCGGCCGCCCTGTTCAGGAGGATCGGCCACGAGTTCGGGTTCCTCGGCGACGGCGCCCTCGGCATGCGGTACAGGAGGTCCTTCAGCTTCTCCTGCCACGTCCTAGGGGGCGCGTCCTCGATTTCTCGGATGCCCTTCTTGTCCTGCCGGTAGCCGCCGCCGCCCCAGTCGCCGAATTCTCTGAGGACGTCGTGGTCGTACTTGTGGTAGACTTCGACGACCGTGTGCGAGACGATGACGAGGAACGTGTAGAGGATGGAGACGAAGAACCAGACGTCGACGAGCTTGAAGTACGAGGTCCTGGGGAGGGCGTCGGCCACCTGGGAGAACAGGGTCATGAGGACCAGGAGGGCGGTCAGCGAGACCATCACGCGGTTCTGGAAGTCGTACCACTTGAAGAAGTAGGTGACGAAGGTGATGAGGTTGATGATGGTCGTCGGGATGAAGATGGTGAGGACCTGCGAGGCGAAGAGGTGCTGCAGCTGGATGGTGACCTGCAGCCCCGAGTAAGGCTCCTCGGTGTCGAATTTGGCCACGTCGATGTTCCCGACGGCGTACTCGACCAGCTTATCGTTGTTGTCGTAGTTGATGCCCGAGCCGTACTTCAGCAGAGACACGTAGTTGAGGGTGTTGCGCTTCACCCTGTAGATCATGCTGCAGTGGTCGACGTTGAACGGGTAGTAGAAGAAGTTGAAGTTGCAGTTGAAGGTGATCGTGTACTTGCGCGAGACCCGGATGTAGTTCGTGTCCCCGCCGTAGATGGACGCTGTCATGGGATAGAGAGAGAGATTAGGCAGATCATCTTTCACTTCAACACTCAGCGGACTTTCTTTATAAGTGTCTTGAAATACCATACTGAATAATCTGTCTCCTGATCTCGACAGCATCCATCTACAGAGGGCGACATGATCATCAAATATTCCATAAGGGATAAAGTCACGAACAGCAATAATTCAATAATTTTCTTTATTACACTGGAGAGAATTATGGATATCCAGTAACTGCGTCATTATCATCAAAGAAGTCTTGAAGTTCCCAAAAGTGTACGTCATTGATAGCTTCCGCAATCTGCTCTTGAAAGGCTATGGACCAAAAGGCAACATTCAGAATAATATAGAAGAATAGAGTCAGCCACTTGCACCACTGACTGAGCTTTATCGCGAGGAGGTTGGGGTCTTGCTGGGTCGCCGTTTTCATCTGCCTTTTGTCCACGTGGGAAACCTCATCCTTGGGCAGAACACTACACGGAAGACACTGATTGAGTTGTAGGAGGAAAGGACGAGTTTCAGGTGAGGACTCATGCTGTTTCCTCTTGTCCTCCTCCTTTTCCTTGATGAAGTTCATCCGGAGGAAGAGTCGCTCTCTCTCCTCGGCTTCGATCTCATGGTCGTACTTGTGGTGGTACTCGACTACTGTATGACACACGATGATGATGAAGGTGAAGAGGATGGACGTGAAGAACCAGATATCAACCAGCTTGAAGTACGAAGTCTTTGGGAGAGAGTCGGAGACCTGGGAGAAGAGAGTCATGAGGACCAGGAGAGTTGTGAGGGAAACCATCACGCAGTTATTAAAGTCGTACCACTTGAAGAAGAAAGTGGCATACGAGATGAGGTTGATGACGGTTGTTGGAATGAAGATGGTGAGGATCTGCGAGGCATACAAGTGCTTGAGCTGCACTTCCACTCTCAGCCCCGAGTACGGCTCCTGACTGATGTACGACTCGACGTGCATGCGACCAACGCTGTACTCGGTGAGGGTGCTCTCTTGGTACAGGATCCCACGGCCGTACTTCTGCAGGGACACGTAGTTGTTCGTGTTTCTCTTGAACCGGAATACCATGTAACAGTAGTCGATGTTGAAAGGGTAGTAGAAGAAGTTGAAGGTACAGGTCCACGTGATGGTGTACTTGCGGGAGATCCGGATGTAGTTCTCACTCCCGCTGTAGATGGAGGCTGGGCAGGGCGCAGGTCGCAGGAAGTGTGGACAGTGTTTCATGAGGAAGGAGGGAGGAAGGGGGAAGAAGAGAAAATGTACATTAGAAATGGGTACGTACATTCTCTGTCTCCTTAAGATTTAATTCCTTTTCGATTTTGTGTAAACTAAGAGATAATGAAATCATTGGTTGGTTGACTAATGCACCAACAATAGTTGTCTCAAAATATGAAGTATGATGCTTTCCTCTGATCATCTACAATAAATAACTATCAGATTACTTACGAAACCCATTTCTAATGTTTTCATTTTGCTTTTTTGTTTCGTTTTTTTCTCGGATTTAAAAAATATTTTTGCACGAAAATAATTCATAATTGCCGATGAGTTCAGAAGAATGCTCATATAGTCATACTCTTTTCCAGATAAAATAATAATCTGTAATAAATTCTTATCCATTCACCCCTCAAGCATAATGCACGCAAACACAATAAGGAGATGCATGATTTTGTCACTGTAAAAATGAAGACTGTAGTTCAACTATATTGTAGTGAATGCGGCTGGGAGAAAGTCTACACTTTTTAAATACAATTGAATAAAATTAGTTATATGCTGTGATGGATACTGTAATGTATCTCTTCTCTTGCCAGACTTCTAAAATCAAGAAACTTTCAGTCATGGAACACTGAAATGTTCAAGGGTAACCGACGTTGTCCGGTATTTCAGGCTTGGATATGGAAGCCAGATAGTCCTTGTAGTTCTCCTGAATCTTCTGCATGAAAGCCACGACCCAGAAGATCAAGTTAACCACCACATACACCACGGCAGAGAAGATGTTCCCGAACTTATTCAAGAACTTCGAAGCCCAATTCGGACACTTTTCTTTCTTCTTTCCCTCTTCCTTTTTCGTCTCCTTCCTCTCTATCTTGTTCTCAGTGGCCGGGGCGATGTTGACGGAGGTCTGCAGCGTCTCAAAGGTCTTCTTGATGGCCTCCCTCCAGAAGCGATGCAGCTCTGACTTCTCACTGAGGCCTTTGGGAAGGTCCGGTTCCTTCTTCTGTGCCTTGCATTCCTTCATGGCTCTGATCTCGTGCTCGTAGAGGTGGAAATACTCGACCAGCGTGTGTAACATGATGATCAGGAACGTGTAGATGATGGAGAAGAAGAACCAGATGTCGACCAGCTTGAAGTACGAGGTCCTGGGAAGAGTGTCGGCCACCTGGGAGAAAAGGGTCATGAGGACCAGTAAGGATGTCAGCGAGACCATGATTCGGTTCTGGAAGTCGTACCACTTGAAGAAGAACGTTGCGTACGAGATGATGTTGATGATGGTCGTCGGGATGAAGATGGTGAGGATCTGAGAGGCAAAGAGGTGCTTCATCTGGATACTGACAGACAGGCCTGAATAAGGGTCAATGGACACGTAGTCTGACACCTCGATCCTGCCCACCGCGTACTCTGTGAGCTTGTCATTCGCCTCGTAGCTGATGCCTTCGCCGTACTTCAACAGCGACACATAAGTGAGGGTGTTGCGCTTCACACGGAAGACCATGCTGCAGTAATCCGTGTTGAATGGGTAATAGAAGAAGGTGAAGATGCAAGTGAAGGTGATGGTATATTTACGTGATAAACGGATGTAGTTCTCACTCCCGCTGTAGATGGATGCTGGCAGAGAGCAGGAGACAAGAGGCGCTCTTATTATGCTCTGAATTTAATGTACACACATACTTATCTCATCATGCACACACGCAACCACACAGAAGACCTAGAATTCATTAGTGAATCAAACTACTTCATAAAGATAAATAACTTACTCTATTAAAATCAAAAAGTGTATTGTTAGAATATGAAAATAGTTTATACAGAGTTTGTGGTCTATGATAATTTAATTACCGAGTTTTACTGAAAAAATAATTACGTGTTAAGAAATTGACATTCTTAATCAAAATAATCACCTTCTTTAGACAGCTCCACGTTGTCGTCCAGCTTCATCCCGAGCCTCTTGATGGTGACCTTAGCGTCGTTGTCAACCTCCGACTTCTGGTTGTTCTCGGCGTTAAGGAAGTCGATGACGGGGACCCAGATGTCCTTGGCGTCCTCGGGGAGAATGATGTTGAGCTGGCGGTCCCTCTTCAGGTTCTTGAACTGCAGCCGAATGTCCTTCCAGATCATCCGGATGACGATGTCGACCGTGAACTTGTTGTGGATGGCGTCGATGGACTTGAAGGAGAGCAGCGTGAGGTTCAGGAACACGGGCAGGGGGCCGGTGCCGTTGACGGAGGGCGGCGGGAGAGTCGGCTGGTACCCGTCGGGGCGCAGGACCGTCGAGCAGTCCAGCTCGTCCGACTTGTCCTCGCACTGGGCTCGTCGATCGCACACCTGGTTGAGCGGAATGCAGTTGCCGTTGTTGCAGGTGAACTCCTCGTTCTTGCTGCACTGCGTGAGGGCGAGGGACAGCAGCTCACCCGCCTTCTTGCCGCAGAAGCCGTGGGAGAACTGCCAGTTGTTCCTGCCGATGGGGAAGTCGATGGAGCCCGATTCCTCCATGATGGCGAAGGTGTTGTTCTCCAGGATGTTCTCCAGCTGCCAGTTGCCCGCGTCGGTGTAGTAGACGTGCGACCTGTAGTAGCCGCGGAAGTACGGCTTGTTGTTCCTGAGGCCGGCCAGGATGAAGCGGTCGTCGTACAGGTTGGAGTCGCAGATCCCGCGGAACCTCAGGAACACGGGGATGGCGACGCGGCACACGGGGCAGAACTTGAACGACTTCCTGCACGCGTTGTCCGCCCACGTGCCCTGGAATGTCCCGCCCTTCATCACGGCGCAGTTCTCCAGCACGCCCCCGTTGGGCTGCCCCTGCGACCACAGCAGGAACTGGACAGGCTCCTTCGTGTCGTAGTAATACCACTCCTTCTCGCTGTCCTGGTCCGTGATCCCCAGCCACATGAGGGCGCCCCCGTCGGCTGCGCAGAGGTCGGCGTTCTTCGAGGACAGCTTGTAGAGGGTCTCCTGCTCGTCGGCGTTCAAGGGCGTGGCCACCGAGCCTCCAAGGGCGGAGCAGAGGAACGTGGAGGCCGAGAACTGCAGTTTGTCCAAGAACATGAAAAACGGGACCGGTTTCACGTCGCAGCTCTGAGAAAGTTGCTGGTATTCCTGGAGAGAGATAGAGAGAGATAAAGATAGATAATTAGAAAGAGATATCTACTTAACTATCTATCAATTTTTATCTATCTATCTATCTACATATCTATCCATCAATCCGTCTATCCATCCATCCCTCTCTCCATCCATCCATCATTCATCCACCTACCTACCTACTTATCTATTTACCCATCCATTCATCCATCCATCCATCTATCCATCTACTTATCTATCTATCAGTCTGTCTACAAATTCATCTACCAACCTACCTACCTATCTATCTATCTATTTATACATCTATTTATCTATCCATGATCCATCCATCCATCAGTCATCTACCTATCTCGCTCTCTCTCTCTCTTTCTCTCTTTCTATACATATATAGATAGATAGATAGAGAGAGAGAGAGAGAAATAGATAGATAGAGAGATAGATAGATAGATAGACAGATAGATTGATAGATAGATATAGATAAATAGATAGATATAGATAAATATATAGAAATATATAAACAGATAGATAGATATAGATAAATAGATAGATATAGATAAATATATAGAAATAGATAAACAGATAGATAGATATAGATAAATAGATAGATAGATAGATATCCATATACCTATCCATCTACCTATCTATCTACCAACCTCTCTACCTCTCTCCGTCTCACCTCCGCCGCGTCAGCGCCGACGTCCCACACCGC